TTGTGTCTGGCTTATTTCATTTACCCTAATGTCTTTAAAGTTTAGCCATGTTATAACATACATCAGGACCTTATTCCTTTTTATGGATGAATAATAGTCCATTGTACCTATATGGCCCATTTTGTTTGTCCACTCATTAGCTGATAGACTTTTATGTGGTTTCCACTGTGGGTTATTACGAATAATGCTGCTATGAACATTTGTGCCCAAGTTTTTGTATGAATACATGTTTTTAGTTCTCTTGGTTATATCCCTAGGAATAGAATTGCTGGGTCATATGTTTAACTCTATGTTACTCTATTTTTAACTTTTTGAGAAACTGTCAAACTGTTTTCCACAGCAGCTGCATCATTTTACATTTGAACCACCAGTGTGTAAGCATTCCAATTTCTCCACATCCCTGCCAACATTTATTTTCAGTGTTCTTGATTCTAGCCATCCTTGTGAGTATGATTCAGTAATTTTTAAGCGTGTTAAAGATTCTGAGACTAAAATGTTTGAGAGTTGTTTTTCTAACAAATAGCTTTAAAAACATTTAAGAAAACATTAAAAAAAAAAAGTTCAAACCAAGTTCATAGATACAGAGGGCAGATTGGTGGTTGCCAGAGGTAGCGGTGTGGGGGACAGGCAAAATGGGTAAAGATAATAAAAAGGTACAAATGTCCAATTATAAAACAAATATGTCTCGGGCATATAATATACAGCCTGGTGAATACAGTTAATAATATTGCATTGTATATTTAAAAGTTGCTGAGAGTAGATCTTAAAAGTTCTTATCACAAGAAAAAGAAATTTGCAACTGTGTGGTGATGTATGTTAATTAGACTTACTGTGGTGCACATTTTGCAATATACACATATATTGCATCATGTTGTACACCTGAAACTAATATAATGCAAAAATCCTTAAACATAATAACCAACAATAACTCCACAACGTTGTGCAATACCAGGGAAATCAAGTTTGCCTGGGAGAGATCCAAGTTCCACCTTTGTACCAGCACAATTATTCATAGTGTCTCCTTTAACTCTCAACATGCTCTGTTTAGATGACAAATTATATAAACACCTTAGTTATGAATCTATGTTCACATGTCCCCAATTGATGTAAATATATTTGTTTATAATTCATTTATTGAATATGAGATCCAACATTGCATTTGATTGAGTGAGGTGTCTTCAAAAACTTTTAATCTAAATCAGTTCTTCCTCTACTCCGTTTCTTTCATGCTATTTATTGATGAAACTGGGTAATATGTGGAATTTCCCACATCCTTATCTTGGCTGATTATATTTTCTTGGTATCGTTTGATTTGTTTCTTTGTCCTCCATATTTCTTCCCATTTGGTAATTAGAACTAGATGTTTGATTAGATTTAGGTTCAAATTTGTGCAAGAATATTTCATAGATGGTGTGCACTTCCTATTGCATTGCATTAGGAGGCCCATGGTATCTGGTGGTCTCACTTTTTGTGGTAAATCAGTGGGTTCAGGTTTTGTTACCTCAATATAGCCAGCATAAAGTTTCCCATCAACATTCTACCCCATAATTGTAACAACTATAGATGATTGTGCCTCCTCTCAGTGCTTCATTAGGAGTTGTGACTTTCCAATTCTATCAGGCCTGTTGCATTTGTTACCTTTATAAACAATCTGGGCATCTTGAAATATATAACAGAATAAATGCTTGATCCCCCCCACCTCCCCCCTCCGCTCTAATTTACCAATTTTTAAAATAAAGAGTTGGTACTTAGCTGATCCAAAGGTGAATGATGAGGGATTTTTTTTCTTTTTGAGTATTACTATGAACTCATGGATTTTGCCTATAGTTTAAAAAATATATTTCTTATTGATTTCAGAGAAGAAGGAAGAGGGAGAGAGAGATAGAAACATCAATGATGAGAGAGAATTATTGATCGGCTGCCTCCTGCACACCCCATACCCTGATCAGGAATTGAACTGTGACCTCCTGGTTCATAGGTTGATGCTCAACCACTGAGCCATGCCGGCCAGATAGTTGATATATACATCTATCCAATAGTCATTATTCTTTTTTAAATCCAAATTGTTCCACCTTTGGCCAAATAGTGCCCCATCATCTTTGATCTTGGGGTCTTTTAACATAACCTCAGTAGTATTTGATAGCTACCTGGCTTTCTGGCATAATAAAATGCCACACCATCCCTGCCCCAGTCCTGAAATCAATAGTTGCCTAAAGAAGTCCTGGTTCCTCTTAGTGGACAATGGCATTTAGATTATGAATTTAAACACGAGGGTTGCTCCCAATCATTAGATTGTCATTGCTTCTTGGCTTTTTCAGTGAACACAACTAGGATATATGTATTTTGTAGAAAGATAAAATTTAATAATAAATTTATACTATAATTGCCAATTCAAAATTTTGATTACAGAACTTATACCTACCTATACTGATTTGATATTTGTGTCTCTTTTATTGGTTTCCAACAATATTGATATATATTTGCTATTTTATATACATGTGTGTAAAATGTACATAATGTATAAAATAGCATCTAAATAACAATACTAGCATTATTACTAACAAATATTATACCTACATGCAGTTTGGTCTGTTTGCTATTCTTTTTTGTCCTTAGGATATGTCACCATAAGGATATATAGTGAAAATAATGAGTTTTAAAGTCAGCTTATTGTTCTGTGCAGTTATAGGAGTAACCCCATGAATACAGGGTGGAAAAAGGTAAGTTTACAGTTATGAGTCTGAAAAACACAGATTTTGTTCTTATATTTTTATTTATTATTGTATTATTTTCCATATAAACAACTGTAAACCTACTTTTGCCCCACTCTGTACTTTGATTAAGGGCTTTTTTTTCTTTTTAAAAATTATGTAAAACATGCACACGATTCCAACAAACTATAAAACACAGTATATAAAGTCTAGCTTCCATTCCCATTTCTTTCACCCTTTCTTATGTGTGGCCATTTTTATGAGTTTGTAATTTATACTTTCCTTGCTTCTTCTTTAAAATGTAAGCAAATGCACACATCTTTCTAAGAAGAAAGGCAACATATACTGGTACGTGGTCTCAGCCTTGCTTTTTCACTTAATTTGTAGTAGAGTTCCACGGCCTTCCACAGAGATGGTCTTCATTCCTTTGTCCAGCTGCACAGAGCTGCACTGTGTGGCTGTACGGTGGTCTATTCACCCAGTCCTCTGTGGATGGCCATGTGGGGGTCACAATTGCATGACTTAAACTGTGCCAGGCACTGAGGGTAAGTGCAGGGTGTCTGGCCTCAGAAAACTGAGTGTAGGGGGAGACTTCTGCAATACAAGTACTTTCCTCATAAGGGAGTGAGATCTTGGATCCACTTAGCACCAGGGACCCCCTGGAACAGGGAAGACAGGCTCCCACACAGGACGGATGCAATAACTGTCTGTGGGTTGGCATCTTGCTGGTCCTTAGTATGGGAGAACCCCCTTGGGAGGAAATGATTTTTATCTCTATTTGAAATTGCTTAGAAAATCACGAGTGCCACCGTTTGGTCAGAAAAGGCAAGACCAAATGAAAGAGGAGAAGGGCCCCTAACCACGAGATTCCCCCGAAAAGAGATGTAACTTAATACAGAAGCTGTGGTTTAACTACAAGCGCTAACATCTGTCCAGTATATCTTAACACTGAGCAGAGTGCTCTAAGCAGTTTGCATATTTATTTAACTCCTTTATTTCGCATAACAAGCTTAAGTAGGGGTTAAATAAAAGTTAAAAACAGAAAAGAAGTGGACATCTGTAATACTTTCAACAATAAAGCAACAATACTAAAAAAATCAATGCCAAAAATATAAAATAAAGAGAGAAGTAGTGACTATTATTTACCCGAATTTTACAGGTAAAGAAATTAAGGCACAGAGAGGTTAGCGAACTTTTGCCCGAGGTCACACAGCGCGGGAGGGAGGGAGCAAGGAAGGAAACATTGGATACTTGCAAGCAGTCCCCTCTCCAAGGATGCTGAAATCTCTCCGCAGCCTCTCTCCTCGCTGGGGGAGAAGAGCCTACTCGTGACATCTCCCTCCCGCCCTTCTCTCCCTCCCACCCCCCATCCCCACAGGAAAATGCTTTGGGGCTTTCTATGCATTTTTGGAGCCTCGGAGGTTGGAGAAATCCCATCCCCACCCCCACGAGCCGGCCCTCCGACCCTCCCAGTGTCTGACGCCCATCTCTCTGCGCTCGTGCCCAGGCATTGGCACCAATGAAGTTTGCTATCCTGGCCTCCTCCTATAAAAATATAGGAAGCCGCGTACGAACTTCCAAAGTTGTTGCGGTACGGGGACCGGCCTTCTACTCTCAGAGAACCCATTGCAAGGGAAGGAAGCACTGCAGGCGCCCTGTGAGACCGCCTGGGACGAAAGGGTTGTGGCTCCCTTCCTCATTCAAAACCGGATTGAGACTAGGTGCATGCAGGGCGCAGCTGCTCGCTCGCTCGCTCGCCCGCCCGCCCGCCA